TCATTGTTACCTAGAATTGGTTTTAAACTATCAATAATATAAATTCCACTAAACCCTTGCAAACTGAATTCCCAGTTTTCTAGGAATTCCTAGGAATTATCAAAAATTCCAAACTATTCAAATAAGCTCTGATTTGAAAAGCTTGGAACTACTGGAAATTTCTGGGATAGGAAATTAAGTTCTAGTTTTGTGAGGACTTGGAATTCCAAGGAATTCCTAGGAATTCTCAGCTATACAAACTACCTATAAGTTGAGAAGGGTGTAATTTCTTTGGAATTTCTGGGAATTGAATTTGAGGCAATTTAAATAACCCGAGGTCCAAATAATTCCAAGAAATTCTCAATGCTTTGAATGCGAAGGTTTTAAGACAAGGACTAATTTCAGAGGCTTAAAACTTTAGTTCAATAAAAGGACTATGCCATACAAAATGTACCAAGAGACACATACATGTATATGTTTATCATGAAATTTACTATTCAAACTAAATTTGAGTAAATCTTAACACAATGTTTTTTCATGAAGTAGCAGTCAATTATGTTAAAAGCAAATTGTTAATTAATCCAATCATTACTCATATCACAGATTTGCTTTCTAACCTTAAAGGCCTCTTCGATTCCATGATCATAAAAGTTTTTATTGAGATGCAAAATGTCTTATGTCCACAGATGTGCCAAAATCATAAAACATAATCATAAACATGGGAACGCTTCGGAATGTGCACATCCCTCTGTAGGTAAGAATTCCAAAGCACCATAGTCGCTTCCTTCTCTTGTACAAATATTTCTTCGTTATGAGACGCACTTGATTGACTCTGTTGGCACCACTGCTAGTTCAGTGGAAACGAGAGACTTAGGAATCGAGATGTCTGTGTTGGAACGTGTTGTTGAACGCTTGTTGTGGTCAAACTTTGTTGATTTGGGTACTGGTACACTGTAATCTAGGTATCTCTTATGACTTCCTAAGGTGGTATCCATCTGCCATAACAGTGAGGGTAAAACACGTTTGTAATCACATTCAAAGTTGTGATTGGCTTGTGTTTTCTGATTTTTGCCGTGAACACAGCTCAAGTCAGGGTTTCGAGTCTTTGTTTCCTCAACAACTTTTGGCCACAAATCGTGCATTTGGTGTACGTTCGATTCTTCTTGAGGATTTCTCCATAGAGTGAGTTCACATCATTATATCGTCGTCAAAACATGGATCAAAGGTTTGAGACAATATTTTTAAGGATGGAAGCGATCTCGGTGATATGTCTAGTGGCGAAGAATTGGCGTGAGACAGAAGAGTGGAAAATCTTGGCGAATAATCAAGGTAAGAAATCAGGAAACATTCTCGCGATATTCAAACACGTGATGCGTGAGGTCTTAGTTACGGTGAAAAATTACATTTACTTTTACTTTTCGCCCACGAATCCTTATTTTTTTGCCTTGAGACTAACCTGTAGATGCATATCTGCGAATGTAAAGTAATATATATTGCGATCAACCATAATTTTGAAGCGACAGAGTAAATAATTTTCAATGGAATTTTACAACGCGACGCGCTGAATGACAGACGTGATATCGAGTGACGTATTCGCGTCCGAACTGAATGTTCAATTTTTATCGACCTGTATGTTATACAAAATGTTTTATATGATTTTCAGATGTGGCTCTTCTTGTTTCAGGTCCAAAAGTCACAAAACAAACAAATTGTGCATAAAAAAACGCATTATGAAAGTGTGTGAGTGGAATGACAAAAAATGACAGTCTCCGGTTTCACTTCTGAATTGTTTTACTCTTGAATTACAAGTGAAAAGCTTTTTACGTGTGTTGCGCTCTATGCATTTGAGGTTTGATTATCTCATTTGTCCTTGTTCCAAGGCAAAATTTCAGAAATAAATTAAAGAAATACCCATGATATTTCATCTCTTTGGAAGAAGCAAGGCAGGGTGAGAATGTTGAAGAAGCAGAAGTGAATGTTGAAGGGGGAAAAGAAGCAGCAGAAGATCCTGATTGGATTGCAGCCGATGTATCAGAGGTTAGTGTGAGTAAAAGCCACCAGACAAATAATCCAGATAATCATGCCCACAGAGGGACCGCAGAATACAAAAGGTTACAAAGTGGAGTACAGCAGGGGAGCATCCTTGAGCCCATCTTGTTCAATATTCATATTAACGACCTACCCTCCGTTCCTCAGTGCTGCGAATCCAAGACATATGTTGCTGACAGTAAACTTTACATAACTTTTCGCGTTCCACAGCGCGAAAATGTTGTGGAAGACATGAAGAAAACGTACGTAGGTTAATTGACCACTCCCCATAGGGGCTTTTTAGGGCCAACACCCACCCATCCCACCCAAGGGAGGACATCTACCACAGAGTAATTTCGTGCGTGGGAAATTAACGTCTCCTACCCCTAACCCTGCAGGAGACAGGGCCTACGGTTTATTCGTCCTTATCCGAGAAGACAAGAATATACTATAACAATTATTCACCACAGCGTTCGGAAATAATAATAATAATAATAATGAACGTTCTTAATACGCATTCTATCAATATAGATATACGCAATACTATCAATTTCTTGATTATAGAAAGTAGCAAATTCTCCTCACTTTTTTTAAGACCATGAGTATCGGTCCGGCCTGGGCTCGAGCCCTCGACCTCCCGCACAACACAATCCGGCGCTCTAATCAATTGAGCTAACCGGGAGGCGGTTAGCTCAATTGGTTAGAGCAACAAAGACCTCATTAAGATCAGGAACTGGTGCTTTGATAATCGCCTCCTCCTTAAAGCAACAAAAACTAAACTAATGTTGTTTGGTAGTCGCTGAATGATTGCCAAGATCCCAAATTTCAACCTGTCCTTGCTTGGTAAAGATCTGGTCCCTACCCGTTGTGCTAGGGACCTAGGTGTG